AAGTAGGACCTGTCTTTCACGAACCCATGCTGGCTGGGCCTGATTCCCTGGTTGTCCTTCACGTGCCCCGTGAGCACACTCAAGATTAAATGCTCCATAATCTTCGCCAGCACTGAGGTCAGACTGACAGGCCAATCAACTCTATTGTTATCAGTTTTCTTGCACGTACAGCTGCCTTTCAAGGTACCCACTCTTTCATTAAGCACTTATTGCCTGATATTTAGCCCTTTGTCTTTCACTGTAACACCCACTCTCCCTGCCAGCATTCCTCTCTCTCTCCATCCACCCATCCATCCATCCATCCATCCATCCATCCATCCATCCATCCATTCATCCATCCACTCACCCATCCATCCACCAACCTATCCATCCATCCACCCACCTACACATCTGTATTTTGACCCATCCTTCCATGCAACTACCATCTCTAACCCCTCCTTCTACTCTGAGAGCCCTCTCTCATCTTTCCCTCTTCTTTTTTCACATCTGTAGGCACAACTTTCCTTTGCTGCACCGTTCCATTATTCTGTACATCCATGCATCCCCTTGTGCATATAGTATTCACTCTTGTTGTGAGTTGAGCCCTCTCTCCTACAGCGTAATACTCCCAACTATCCTGTCTACTCTTCCTCTCTTCATCCATTCATCTATCCGTGCTCTTGTCATTCACGCCATCATCACGCCATTCATGCATCTATTCAAAATTCCTTCCCAGCCACTTCCCCTTGCTCTACAAAACCACACAAGGATCACTCTCTGTCCCTGTCCCTAGGGAACACATCGCCGTCTCTTCCAGTTCAGCTCTGTCCCTCTGCCACAGTGCTTGACCATTTATCTGGGAAACAAGCCATTAGGGCTGGGTGATCTTTGGTGGTTTTTGGCCTTTCCTTCTCCTTCAGCAATGACTGACAGTGGAGCCCAGGTGCAGCAGAAGCCATTGGCAGAGACCACTGAGGACACTGACATCAGCGTCACCTGCTCATACCCCAACATACAGTCCACTGAGTTCATCCACTGATATGGTCTGCTCCCTGGCTGAGGCCCCTTGTTCCTTGAGAGCTGTCTGAAACTTGTCCAAAGTGCTGCTGGACAAACTGGAGTGGCTGTTAGTGGTCGCAGACCACTGGCCCAGCACCCTGTGGCTCACCTGGCCCTGGAAAGAGGAAGAGGTGGTGTATTACTGTGTGCAAGCATACACTGGCCCTGGAAAGAGGAAGAGGTGGTGGACTGTGTGCAAACCTCCACAGGCAGGGCAGAGTGTGTTTGATGAGGGCAAGGGGACAGCCCCAGCTGAGCCCACTTGTGGGCATTGCTGTTCTGCCAGCTGGGACCTCCTTGCCATGCCTGTCCAAGGAAGAGGGAAGGTCCAGCACCGTCACCTGAATCAGCTAGGGACTGCTGTGGCACCTATAGTTGTATTACAGGGGAACTGCTGGCAGGTTTGTAGTCGTTGGAAAGCAGAGGGCAGCCCACCATCCTTCTGCCATGGCCTCAACTGAAAAACAGGACCCTGAAGGCCTTGTGGGACCAGGGCTGCTAATGGGGGCTGCTATGATAATAACCTGCTTCCTGAAGTCCCTGCCAACTGTGTGAGCAAAGGGCCCTGGGTGAGCAGTGGCAGAGGAGCCGTGCCCCAGGCAGCACACAGCAGAAGACACTAGAATCAAGTAGCCCTTTTGCTTGCCTGGGTATTGGGGTTCTGGGGCCTGGAGTGGGACAAGCAGGTGAAGGTTGTGGGTAATGTGGGTAGGTGAATGGACACAAAGGGATTGCCTGCACAAAAGAGAGTTGTGTTACCATGTCCTAGCCCCACCAGAGTGTGGGAGTGTGCCTGTTGCTGTGCAGCTGGTTTCTGCAGCAGATGCGTTTTACAGCAATATTTCTCTTCAGGTTCCTTCTCTACAGCCAGAGGCAAAGGGAGAGTGTGTGCGACACCTGAGTCCAGGCACTTCAGTGTGTGCCTTGTCCTCTCTCCATCCAGACAGTCCCAGGGACAGGGTGGACATGGGTGGGTGCAGGAGGGAGCTTTCTCCACCTTCTGCAGAGCTGGCTGCAGGCCTGTGCAACCGGCTAGGTGGCTGATGTCAGGAGAAGTCTGCAAGGCATGCCTGTCCCTCTGATGGACAGTACTTAAGCCATGAGTTCATTAGCTCTCTAGAGAGCTTTCTTGTGGTAGAGGTTGGGGAACAGACAGAAAGGGGGTCTGTGATAGAGGTGTGGGACAGACCCAAAGAAGCCTGCCTGGAAAAGCAGCCCTCTGGGCTGTGCTTTGGTGGTGTATTTGATCTGTCAGAGGCA